CCGGGGGGGGGGGACCGCCAGGGGTTGGGCCCGGGGGGGGACCGGACCAGGGGTTGGGCCCGGGTGGGACCGGACCAGCAGGGTGCGGCAACCGGGTGGCGTCACCGTCGGAGCGCTGCCGGCACGGTTGCTTGCTGCCTTCGTGAGCTCTGCCTGCCGAGCGGTTGCTGTGTAACCGCCGCTATTATGCACGCTTTGCCTCACCTGTCAACCGCAAATCAACTTCCCGTCGCCAGTACTTGCATACGCGCGGCATCGTGCACCGCGACATCAAGCCCGAGAACATCCTCTTCTCCAGCGGCATGTGCCTGAAGTTGGCCGGTGGGTCAATGTGCCCATGCACACACGCCTCTCGCTCGGCCCTGCTCGGCCCTGCAGCGGTTGGGACCTGCGCGGTTGCCCTGCCGCAAGCACCCCGGCGCAAGCTAGCCAAGCCGAGGCGGCCGCAGGCCTCGCTGCCCAAGTCGCCACCCCTGTCAGCATGACGGCAGCTCGGCAGCAGGCAAACCTGCTTGTCGTTTCGACCCCCCCTGCCATGCACGACCGACGCGTTTCAGCACGGCGGACGCCCTCCCATGCACACAATTGAGGCTCGCTTGCTGCTCGGCGCCTCAACAACTCAGATTTCGGCCTGGCGATCGACCTGCGGCAGGAGCGCGCGGTCACGCGCGCGGGAACCCTGGACTACATGGCACCAGAGGTCCGATAGGGCTGTGCAGGGTTGGGGGTCAGCGCTGCAAAGCACGGATAAAGCTGGGGTTTGAAAGTGTTGACCCCTCCTGTGCTGGCCCCGGCAGTGCGCCCTCTGCATTGCGCGGCAACTAAGGGGCCCTGCACAGAGTACTCAGGGCCCTGCCGCCAGGGGTGGCCACTGAACTCGCCTCCCCGCACGCGCACAAACACGCGCCGCCGAGCCCAGGTCCTCAACTGCCCCTACAAGAACCGCCCCGAGGAGAACAAGGAGAAGGCGCACCTCCACTACTCCGCCACCGTCGACAGCTGGGCGGTGGGCGTGCTCGCGTACGAGCTGCTCGTCGGCTGCCCGCCTTTCCACGACCACTCGCGCGACAAGGTGGAGGCGCGGATCCGCGCGGCCGCGCCGGCGTTCCCTCGGTCCATGACGGACGACTCGAGGGACTTTGTGGCGGGGGCGCTGACCAAGGACCCGAGGGCGCGCCCGACGGTGCTGCAGCTGCTGCAGCACCCCTGGGTGGACACGTTCCGCGCGCGCCGCTCGATGCGGCAGCTGGCGGCGGCGCCGGCGGGCGCGGCCACGGGCGGCGGCGCCGCGGCCGCGCGGGGCGGGGAGGCGGCGGTTGCAGGCGCAGGCACGGGGGCGGGCGCAGTCGCGGCGCAGGCAGCGCCGCCTGGCGGCGCATGCGTGCCGGTGTCGTCGTCACTGAAGCCGGCGCCGACCGCCAAGTACATATGCAGCATGACGCCCTCTGCTCTGCAGGCCATAGAGGCCGGCATTTCCGCCAGCCGCGACGCTGCTGCTGCTGGATCAGCAGCTGCAGTCGCGACTGCGACTGCAAAGCAGCAGCAGCAGCAGCAGCAGCAGCAGCAGCAGCAGGTCAAAGTTGCAGCTGCTCTTCAGGGGGAGAGGGTGCAGGCGTCCGCCCACAGCTCACCCCTGATGGTGGCCGGCAACATCCGCAGCCTCGAGCTGCACGGAGTGGGTGCAGCTTTGCCGCAGCCCGCTGCGGCGAGCGTCGACGGCGCCCACACGTCTGTGGGGCCGGTGTCGGTGGCGGGCGAGCGGCAGCGCGCCAAGTGGCTGCAGAACATCCGGCTGTGGCCAAACGCCAAGTGATCGCTCTGGGGGAGCGGGTGCCGGTTGGCGCGCGCCCTGGCAGGCGGGCGGGATATAGTCAGGGGATGGTGAATTTTATTGTTGCCACCTGCAAGCCCTCCAGGTGGGGCCCTTGCGAGCAGCGGGTTTCTGCCTGGGATGTTCATGCTCACACACAGCCAATCTCAAAGCAGGCCAGCGCACTTGATTTGGACACACGCACGTGCCCCATGCCAGCCGCCCACCCGCCGGATTGTCTGAAGCAGCGCTAGCGAGGGCGCCCTCTGGGTGCGATGCATGGAGCTGGCAGCCAGCCCGGGCAACAACGCACTGCTCTGCAAAGCGGTGTCTGACGTGTAGCGGCGCTGTGCCAGTGGCCGCTTTGTCCTTTACGTCAAGGCACTCCGCCTCAACATCCCAAGCCTCCCCTGGACGGGTGACTCCAGGTGCTGTTTGCCGTGGCGGCGGCCCCTTTGCTTCCGGCACGCACTGCAACCCAAAATTATCATCCATGTACTGGCTTTCATTGACGTGTGTCAGGCAGGACCAGGCTCATTGGCCAGGACTGCCGATGCCACTCACGGATGTGCGCCCCATGGCAACCTCATTACTGCCGTTGCATAACAGCAGCGGCCCACTATCGTTTGAGACCCACCACTTTCTGTGCCCTTTGCTCTAAGGGGGGGCCCACCTCCCCCTAGCAGGCGGCCCCAAACATCCGTTGTCGCCTTTGCAAATCCATGCATCGCCGACTTGCCCGCAGTCCGACTGCCAGTATTCACGTCGCCACGTGTCTTGCTTCAGGCGCCGCTTGCCTGTCGCATCACCCGCGCCCGGCGGTTTGTCGTCCACATACAACTGAGCACTGGCACCACCGTGTTCCTGTTGCCAGCTTTGGAAGGGGTACACAGAATCGCAGCTTTGTGGGCCTTCACCAATCTTGGCGGGCCTGCGGCAACTGACATACCGCAGTGGCCTGCGGCGCATGCCTGGTTCACAGTCGCAGCTCTCACCCTTGCCAAAACAAGCCCTGGCAGATTACACACTCCACCGCTACCACCCTGAAAAAGGCGACTTTGCTTCACATAGGTGCTTCTGATCCCCTTAGCACAGGAACGCTGGGACTACCCTTGTCACATCGCCTTTAATCTGAAACAGCAGCAGTAGTGGTGCTGCCCGCTCGAGCTGCACTTGATACCCAGGCTCAGGACCCGTACATTGCCAAGCCGCAGCCGCAAAAATTCAGATCAGTAAGGCCTGTGCACACACACATGCGCACTGAACGCCCGTTCGCACAACCGTCAGAAGCCGGTCTGGCTGTCTCCGTTGCTCTGGCAGCTGTTTGCGCATGCAGCTCGCTGCGCACCTCTATCTGCAACACCTTACTGCCATGCTGGCACCCGGCCTGCACGCACTCCTCATACCCTGTCCTCAGGCAAGAGTGGCTCATCTGCCTGGCTGCACCAACCTCTCACGTTGTTGTGGGGCTGGTTCGCTTGTTGTGAACCACCACTCACCCAGGATCACTTTGTGATGTGAAACCTAACAAACCTTCTTTGGCGCTCAAAGTAATGCTGACCTAGTCTTATGACAACCCGGTACCACCCATTGGTGCTGTAGTATGCGTGTATCTGTCCCTGGTGGCGTGACAGCCCCCTCTCAAAGCCTGCAAGTTTCATCACCAGCGCTTTTTGCAGAATTATCAGCGTGCGGCCGAGACTTTAGTTTTTACACACAAGGCACAGCCCCGAGGCAGGGATAATCGTGGCAACAACAGGTAAACAAGAGTTGACAGTGAACCGGCGTAAGGGTCATTGCGCAGTGCGTGGACTTGCTGCTCTTGGGAAGGAAGCGCCGGCCAATGGCTCTGGTGCAGTGGCTTGCGGCTCACGCAGTGGCAGGCAGGATTGGGCAATCGACGTCTCCAGTTGACGCGGGAGGTTCCCGGAACTCAAAACTTAATAAAAGCGCTGCCGTTCACAGGGGCCACGCTGCACGTGCGCACCCTGCACGTGACATGGTGCCTCAAAACTTCGGCGTGTTAAAGGAGACACGGACGGCAGGTCATTGGGAATTGGCGAGTCCATGTGACAGGAGGAATTTGTAATGCCGCACCAGAAAACAGGCCGCGAGCAGTTGAAAAGGGCGGGAAAGAGATCGGCTGCGCCGGCTCTGTTTTGGTTCTGGCAATTTTGAAAGCAGAATCATCCCTCCAAATCGTGCTTTGTACACAAGTACTGCAGGGGCCGCTCAACAGGGCATCAAATCCCCCATGTGCGCAAAAAAATACTGTCGCAAAGTGTCATGCCAAGAAGTCAGGTTCGCCTCCCGCAAAAGTCGTGGCAGCCGCGGCACCTGTGCCGCATCAGGACAGAGGCACGCTTGCTCCAGGCCCGCCCGTGCGCCGGCCCGCAAAGGACCGGCTCACCAACGGCGCCCTCATCGCATGACAGTGCTGGAAACGTCATTGGTAATAGAGCATGCTGGAGACCCTGTGCCCCCCAGCAACTATTGGAAGGGTGAACCACCTCCATGCACCGGCGCCCGGGCTTGGCGGCGTCGGAAGGCGTGGCCGCGTCACCAGCCGCGGTAAGGGCTGAAGTCCAGCACCTGCAGCAGGTGCACCTCGACAGAGGTCACCCCCCACTTCGACAGCCCCGTCGCCGCGCACAGCCGGCTCGCGCCGGCCACCGAGCGGCGGCCGCCCTCGAGCTTGCTCGCGATCCAGAGGGCGGCGAGCACCATCACGCGGTCGTGGGGCTGGGAGGCGCCCAGGGACGCGAGGAGCAGCTCGTCCGCGCGGCCCTCCACGCGCGCCCACATGTGGCGCGCCAGCAGGAACACCTCCCGGGCCTCGACCACCAGCACGCCGCCCGCCCAGGCGAGCGCGGCGTCGAGCGGCGCGAGCAGTGCGCGCGCTGGCTGTGGGGGCGCGGCGCCCGGGGCGCGGAGGGCGCTCAGGCGCCTGCGCATATTCAGCTGCTGCTGCTGTTGCTGCTGCTGCTGCTGCTGCAGCTGATGGCGAGCCACTGCAAGCAGTTGCCAGTCAATGCCTTCCGCGTCCCCGGCAAAGGTGCTGCACGTGCTGCTACCGCTGCCGCTGCTGAGCTGCACCTGCAGCTGCTCGTCTGCAGCTGCAGCTGCCTGCCGCTCCGGGCCGCTCGGCAATTGCGGCGCCTCGCAGTGCTGCTGCCGCATGTGGAGTCGCTGCCGCAGTTGGGATTGTGGCGAGAGCGCGGGCTGCTTTGCGCGCCACTGGGCGAGCATGCCGGCGCTCGCGTCCAACGGCCACTCGGCAGCGCGGCTGCGCTTGCCAAGGACAGCCGGGGCCGCTGCAGGCGCGTCCACCACCTCCTCAATCACGCACGATGCCCCAGGAAACTGCAGGGGCGTCCCGGAGCTGAGTGGGGACGCGTCATCGCCGTCGCAACCGCAGCCGCAGCCGGCGGCCGTAGCCGCCGCAGGGGGCGGCGTGGCCTCGCGGCAGGGCGCGAGCGCGCCAGCCGGGCCGCCGTACATGCTCTGCGGGAAGGCCATTGGCTCCGTGCTGCGGTGTTTGTGCTGCTGCTGATGATGTTGCTGCTGCTGCTCCTGCCGCTGCAGCTGCTCCTGCTGCTCCTGCTGCTGGCGGGCTGCGTGAACATGCCAGTGCGCGTCTGAGGGGAGGGCTGATGCGCGGGTGCCGCTGCCCCTGCTGGCGCCGCCTACGCTCAGGCTTGCAGCCGACGAAGCAATGAGGTGGACAGCCAGCATGCCAGTGGTCGCCCTCATTTCCTCGAGGCTCGCCGCGCGCAGTTGCCGTGCCTCTGCGGTTGATAGTCCCCTTGTCACCCCGCCTGCAGGGGCGCGAAAAAAGACTTATGAGCTCATATAATTGGCAGATAGTGAGAGTTGACCTGCATCCGACGACTATCCCGGGCTGTCAGCTGCTCGGCCCTCGCCCTCACCCCCCTCTGGCCCCACTGCCGGGGTGGCCCACTCTCACCCGCCTCTCCACGGACCTGATGACGACTGATTTATAATTTGAATAAATTAGGACCCCACGCTGTGGGCTGCCGCGCCACAGGGGCACCCGCAAGTGCTCAGGGGGGTTGGGCTGATGAGAATCCGTGTCAACAGTGGTATTGCTGATACCCCAGGTTGACTGCAAGCCAATAAGTGTGCACGATGATGCAAGGTACCACGGTGGACCTGTTCACCCCGGCATGCCATCCCTCAGTGGCCGGTCGACCACTCACTCGTTGTTCTCACTTTCGGCGGTGACTTCGGTGACGCCCGGGCCCCGAAAAGTCGAGCAAAACCGGGACGATTTCTGTGCAAAAAATATCGCCAGGAACTTTCTGGGACGGGTGCCACTCGCTCAGCCCGGAAGCGACGGCCACCCCTGAAGGAACCGACAAGGTGACTGAAGTGTGTGGCCGCTTCGATTTGCAGGCCGCTCGCATCGGGAGCCCGACCCGCGGCACCAATCATCAGACCCCAGCCACCATCCCAGGGCCCATGTATACTGGACGGTGTGCGTCTAGCGTGGTCATGAGTGCCAGCAAGTGTGGCCCATTTGTCGCCTGCTGGCCCCTGGACAGCTGGCGTGCATGTGTGCTCCAGACGTTCAGCCATGCCACAGGCTAGGCTCACGGGTGGCCTCGCCTTCTTGCGGGTCACACGCGCATGACTCGTCCCGCGGCGCGAGCTTTGTGTGTGAGCCTGCTGCCTGCAGCTTCCCTGCTGTCGCGCTGGCCGTCCATGCGGCTGGCCCACGTCAAATTGGAGCCCGGGGCTTCGTTTGCCCCAGCGACTCGCGCAACTCTCTCTGGATGCGTGCACCAGCTGTGCTTGTTGCAAAGCCTCGAACCCTCTGCACGGACCTGCATGGGTCTGGCCCCAGCCACCACTTGGGCACTGGGCCTGCCCTCGCCTCGAGCTCCGCTCTCGCCCCCTGCTCCTTCGCGAGCTGAGGCGGCTGGCCGCGCCTGCCCCTGGTGGCACACTTATGACATGCATGCGCCGCAAGGCAATGCGCGTGGCGGTTGGGGTGGGAGTGTTGGTGGGGAGAGCCTTGAGGTGACTATGGTGTTTGTCGGCCTGCTACGGTAACCAGCAGGTGTACGGGGGCGTGACGCCAGAGCGAGCATGACATCAAGCCGCCACCTTTTGTACTACCAACCACCTGTGGGTGCACTGCTGTGCCCAACCCAATACGGTAATCTGCGACGCAAGGGACACAGCCTCCCCATGGCATGGTGTGGACCATCACCCGGGTCAGCGTGTGCTGGAGGCGCAGTTTGCTGCGAATCTTCAACGAGCGCAAGATGCATACTTTGTGAATTCTGAAGCTCCGACTGCAATCATGGACTCTCAAGCGCCTTCGAGCTCCGCCGAATTTGTTCAGAGCCGCGCCTTTGCTGGGGCTCGCCTAGGATATGTGTTCAAGAGCGACTGGCGAGGATTAGGTTACTACAGGGATCCCCTGCAGCCACTGCCGCCGGCAGAAGTTCCGGCGCAGCACGGCGGTGCCGCGGGCTCCCAAGCAGCAGCTTGCGCTGCGCCACTGCCGCCATCACCGCCGCAGCCCAACGCGCAGCAGCAGGAGCAGCAGCAGCAGCAGCAGCAGCAGCAGCAGCAGCAGCAGCAGCCATGTGACAAGGGCAAGCGAACTGCGGAGTCGCACCAGCAGCTCAACACAATCGACGAAAAGCAGCAGAATGCAGCAGCGGCAAAGTCGCAAGCGAGCGGAGGTGCAAGCGGCAGCTTCGCACCGGCGGCCGCGGCAGCGGTGGCACCCTCTGCAAAGGCGCCGTCTGTGGTGCAGAAATCCAACCCTTTCTTGAAGCTAATGAAAGGCAAAAAGGTGCCCGCGGTCGCTGCCGCCGGTGGCGACGCAAAGCGTGCGAAGAAAGGTGCGCACCCGCGGAGGGCGTGTGCCTCGCCCAGGATCGCTGTGCGTGCGGCCGCCCTCCGCACCCTCGTTGCCACTGGCCACTTCTGTGGATGCCTAGCCAAATGCATGCGAGGGACCCCCCACAAACCACACAACTGAGCCGCCCGAGCCC